AAAAACTCTCTCTCTCTCTCTCTCTCTCTCTCTCTCTCTCTCTCTCTCTCTCTCTCTCTCTCTCTCTCTCTCGCTCTCTCTCTCTCACGTGCCAGGTACTAACCTGTGAAGATGGTGCTGTGTTGTAGGTACCTCGAACGAAGCTGGAGCTATGGCGCTGCAGGTAAGTCCCCTTGGCCTCCGTCCAATCTCTCTCTCTCTCTCCAGTACTACTCTAGCTCCTACTAGCGCCCAGCGCTGAAGACTACTGCTAGCGCTACTACTACTCCTGCAGCGCTCCTCTAGAGTGCAGCTGCCGAATCCTGAAGACTACCTCCTGCCTCCTGAACTGTACGTGAAGTGCTTGGGAAGTACCTAGGAACTACCTCCAGCCTGCAGGGCGGGCCAGTCCTATATAGTGATGGCCCGTCCAGGAGGCTACTCTTGCCAATGCCGAAATGTGCCAGACCCTGGCGTTGAAGCTCAACCAAGGGTTGTCTTGAAAACAGGCCCAAAATGGCCTATGCTAAAACCCTGGTTTGGTTCTCGAGTTTCAGGGTAGGTCAATCTCATGAGGGCCTGAAAATGGCCCTCCGTTGCAGGCTGAAAAGACTCAGGGTCAGAAAGGCCCTGTTTTAGGCTGAAACGACACAGGGCCTGTAGGCCCTTGTGTTCAGGCTTTCGGCCTGAAAACGACACGGGCCTGAAAGTGGCCCGTGCAGACTGTTGCAGGCGCAGCATGTAACACCCCCCCCTCCTTATGAAGTCAAGTCAGGTCGAGCGCGAAGCTGACGAGCTGAAGGTGGAACCTGGACGTGGGTGCAACATGGAGCCGAAGGTACAGGCTTGCCTTGCATCTTGCGTTTGTAGCGTGCGAGAACATTTGGAGTTGTTGCTTGGAGTTCCGCACAGGTCAACCAACAGTCAACTTTGTGAGTGCAGTACGCAAAATGTACCAAGTACTCGGTTGGCCTGTTGTCGTAGCGTCGCTGGGAGATGATGTCGCCTACCTCTTGAAAATTGTCCATAGAGGGTGGGTCTTGCGATCGTCGCCCGAGAAAATCGTCATGTTCCGCTGGCGTGTAAAGAGCCAACTTGGAGCAATGAAAGACTGGGTAGACGGGCAAGTGGACGGGCACTTGAATGGTGAAGGAAGGTCCTTCGGGTGCATCCCCAGCGGGTGCCACGATCGGCCAGGGCCCCATCCATTTCGGGAGGAGCTTGTGAGAGATATCTTGTTCAAGGTTGAACTCCACGGCGGAAACCCAAACGAGATCGCCGACGAATGGGCAAGGAAGACGTTGCCGATTGGCCTGTTGGCTCATGCGTTGCTGCGTCTTAGCCATCTGGTCGCGTGCCTTGACAAGTAGCTCTTGCATCCGACGCAAGAAAAGAAGATGGTCGTCGCTCTCGGCCGTTCGTGGAATGATTGTGTCCAACGGGGAAGTGACCGGCGAGCCGTGCTCGGACTCGAAGGGCGACATTCATAGCCGGGTGGATGGACGAGTTGTATGCCAACTCGACATCAGGCAGCCGCTCAACCCAATCCTTTTGGTCAGGACGAATAAGAGTGCGAAGGAGAATCTGTGCGGTCTGATGCGCCCTCTCCGTTTGGCAATCGGTTTGGGGGTGGCGAGTCGAACTTGGCTTCAGAGATGAGCCCCATCGTTTGATGAGCGCCAACCAAAAATCGGACATGAACTGAGTGTCGTGGTCGCAGACAATTTCCTTGGGGTAACCCTTGGTTCGAATCCAACCGGCGTAAAGAACCTCGACCAACTCCGGTGCCTTGGCATGATAGTGGCAAGGCAAAAACATGGCGAACTTGGTGAGTCGGTCGACCATTGTGAGAATCCCATCCACACCGGTCTTGTGCTCGGGGAACGGCCCGGTAATGTTTATGGCAATCGCTTCCCTTCAGCGCAAAGGAACCGGTAATGGTCGCAACTCGCCGTACGGACGATGGTTGCGGGATTTGCAGCGTCGGCAAACCTCGCATGACTCGCAATAGCGTGTGACGTCGCCGAGAAGGCCAGGCCACCAAAATCGCTCGCGAAGTCGGCCAATCGTGCGATTGACGCCAAAGTGTCCGGTGGCGGGAGCATCGTGGAACTCGCCAAGAAGCCGTGTACTCAAGTGAGAGTCACTCGGTATGCAAAGAAGGTCCTTCCCCCGCGTGTTGACAAGCAAGTACCCCTCTTGGATCCAATAGTTAGAAGGCGCCGGATTAGGAGAGGAGCAATTCGTGTACTTGTCGCGAAACTCGGGGTCGGCTTGGTAGCCGCGGATGAAGCTGTTCCGCAGGTCGTCGCCGATCTCGAAGGTCGAATAAACTGCGGTACAATGATCTGGACGCCGTGAAAGAGATCCGTTAAACGGTTAGACTTCCCCGGAATGTGATCGGGAAAGAAGTCGAATTGGTCGATGAAAGCTATCCAACGGGCGATGGTGCTATTGACGGTGTCTTGGGTTTTATAGAAGACCAACGGATTGTTGTCCTGTTACCATCGGAATTGACTTCGACCAAGGAGGAAGTGCCGCCACCACTTGAGCGCGTGGACGAAGGCGAGGAGCTCCTTCTTGCGTGCATCATCAATGGAGTGCACGACGGGCACTTTCTTTGACCGGGTGCCAGTCCACGCCATCGTGTTGTTTGAGGACGACACCAATGCCATAGCCGGACGCATCCGTAGTGACGTGCGTTGGCAATAGCGGGTCGTATATGTGCAAGACCTCCGCAGATATAGCGCGGCTTTGAGAGCCAAAAATGATTCTCGTGCATCCTCTCCGAAGTCGAACGACCGATCCTCGCATTGAATCTTGGTCAAGTGGGCCGAGATCTTCGAGTATCCCTTGATGAAACATTGATAGTAGCCGGCAAGGCCAAGGAACGAATGGATATCCGTAACGTTTTGTGGCTCCGGCCATGCTTGGATGGCTTCAATCTTGTTCGACAACGGATTGATGCCCTCTGGTGTGGCAAAATGGCCTAAGTATTCCAACTCTTGCCGGACAAATTCACACTTGTCGCGGTTGGCTTTGTACTTGGCGTGGCGGAGCGTCTCCAACACTCGTCGAAGGTGCCCAAGATGATCCTCCAATGTCCGGCTATAGACGAGAATGTCGTCTAAGTAGACCAACACGAACCGGTCCAACATCGCACGAAACTCATTGGTCATTGTTGCCTGAAAGGTCGTCGGGGCATTGGTGAGGCCAAAAGGCATGACCACCCACTCAAAATGCCCATACCTCGTCTTGAACGCGGATTTATAGCGATCGTTCAATCGGATCGAGATCTGATGATATCCCGACTTCAAATCCAACTTAGAAAAATACTTCACGCCACCCAATCGCTCAAGAAGATCGTCGATACGAGGAAGAGGCCCTACATTCTTGACGGTTTGCGCGTTGAGCTTGCGGTAGTCGATGCACAATCGTAGATCCTTGTTCTTCTTCCGTACGAAGAGAACTGGCGCTCCGTACGGGGAGCTACTAGGGCGGATCCAACCCTTGTCCAACAAGTCATCGAGCTGCGCGCGGAGGGCTATAAGCTCCTCCTCGCACATGCGATAAATGCAACCTTTCAGCGGCACGGCACCGGCCTCAAGAATGATCTCCGACCGATCTGGCACCACATCGGTAGGTGACTCGAAGATGTCGGCAAACTCGTTAAGCAACCGCACCACACGGGGGTCCGAAGAAAAGTCCGTGGGTGAAGAATCGGCTACCGCAACAGTCCGTAGGAAGCATAGGCCTATCTCGTCGGGCTGCTCGTAAGTGCAAGTAGCTCGGAACGACTTGGCCGTCACCACTTGGCATCGGATCGAAGGGTGCGGAAGAGGAATAGTACACGGCACTTCGGCACCGAAAGCGTCGCAGACGGTAAGAGTCCGCCGGTGGAAGTGCACCGTGTGATCCGCACTTGCAAGACAAAGCATTCCCAAAATAATGTTGAAGTCTGTGTCCAAAATGTCGAACGTCACCAGTTTGCATGCATGAGGTGCGAAATACACTGGTACAGCCCCGATGTAGCGGTCGATAAGTTGCTGCGTCCTTCCGTCTACCAACTTGATCGCCATTGGGTTTGCCTTCCTCCGAACTTGTGCGCCAAGGCCAGCCGTTTGCATAAAGGCTTGGCTCATGAAATTGCGAAACGCGCCGCTATCCAGCAAAGCGCTGCAGGACGCTTGCCCAACTTGGATGCGGACATAGAGGAGCGGTGCATTGTTGTCATCGTACCGCTGCTTGCGAAACTCGCAGGCCACCTTGGTAACATACGCAAGGATGTCCCCACCGCGACTTCGTCATTCGTCGGCGAAGTTGGTGGTGCATAGAAGGATAAGTGCGTGTGAAGATGAGCGCATAATGTCGCGCATTGCGGTCCCGGCAAGCGGCCCGTGGTCGGGAGAGGAAGCCATGCGAAATCCTCGGACATGAGCGGGTCCAATACCTCTATGTTGAACTCGTGCGCCGAATCTCGTGAAGAACCACTTGAAGATGATAAGTTGTCGCTGCTGAACGGTGAAGATGCCGCACACACATCTTGTCCTTGAGCATGAGTACCCAGCGTAGGAACGAGCCGGGCAGCATAGTCCTCATAAGAATATAGAAGAGGAAGACTATCGACTTCCGCATGTGCCTCGGAACGAAGGGCGGTCAACCGCGAAGCGACTGGTTCCGAAGGCGTCGAGAGTGTCGTCGACTTACTCCCGGTGGTGTTCGGTTTCCCGGTTTGCCTTTGCCTTTCGACGGGCAGCCCATTGTGTTGTGGAGATCGTTGTTACACCACAGACAATAGCGGAATCTCGTGCGTGCCTTGTACGCCTGTTCGGAGAGATCGTAGTGGGACCATGGGGCTGGAGCTGTTGCGTCGGGCCCGGGGATAGATGCGGTGTTTGTCTTCGTCTTGCCGCGTCCTTGGCCTTTGCCGGGGGTGGCCACCATCCCGGGCGGCTGCGAGACTGTCCCCGCTAGTTTGGTCGGTTGGCATTGCCGCCACGACCACGACCACTTTCGGTCAATGCTGATCTCTGCTCAGGCCTACTGCAGACGAACAATGGAGGTTCTTGGCCTCCTTGTTCATGACAATGATCTGCGCGGCCTTGTCGAAGAGCTCCGCCGTTGTCGTCAGGGTTTCCTCGACGTGAGTCAAGGCATTGCCCAACACCGGACACGGCCTCGAGATGAAGTAGTGTTTGACGGCCTTGAAGCCCATTTGAATGTCTGGGACAGATGTCAAGCGTTGGTACTCCGCAATCCAGTCAACACTCGACAACGTGCCTTGTTCGAAGGTAATCAACTTGTCCATTGCCTTGATCTCCGGCGGCTCTACTTGGAACCGCTTATGCCACTCCGCCTTTAGATCATCCCAACTGATCTTGGTGTGCAAGTCGACAGCTACCACTCCGTACTTGGACAATAGGTTGTCCGACCATGCTTGGCACGTGCCTCCCGACCGGGAGTATAAGTACGCGTGATGCTTGTCCTCGCTGATGTGGAGTAGCTGCAACTTGAGCTCGAACTTGTGGAACCACGGAATCGGGTCCGTCTTCGTCGAATCGCAGAAGATCTCCTGATCGTCGAACCTAGGAGTCGTCTCACGTGGTGCCGAACTTGGGTTGGCGGCGGCAGCACAGATCCGCTGCTCCAGTTGTTGAATTCGTTCTTCATCGACAGCCTTTGCTGCTGCCTCGTCTTGTTGGCGCTGTTGTTCGATTGCAAACAGATGTGCCTTCTCGACGTCCTCCGCCTTCTTCTTTGCTGCGGCTGCTAATGCATCCGACTGTTGTTTGGCTTCGGTAATCATAAGCAACATACGGGCCTGATAGGCCTCGTCCGTTTCCCAGGACTTCTGGTCCATGACGGTTGTTTCACAGCGCGTGAGGCCGGGGGCCTGCTGGGGTGGTACTCCCTGCTGTCGACGTGGCACTTTTGTCGACTGACGTGGCACTGCTGTCGACTGACGTGGCCTGCTGACGAGGCAACTCACCAATGCTGCCGGAGGGGGTACCCGGAGACCGATAGAGAAGATAAGACCAGAGGGGGCAACAACATAGGCGGGGAGGGRTGGGTGGGATAAATCGCCCAGATAAGGAGCCACTAATCAAAAAAGAAAAGTTTGAACTTTGCAAAAAAATTCGAAAAAGGTTTTAGCTTCTATAGAGAATTCGGCAGTAGACTGCTAAACCCAAAACCGATCAGTTGGCGCTTAGCATACGCGCGGAGAAACATCGGCGCTAGACCACGCCGCGTCACGAGTTGACACGTGTAGTTGCCTGACCCCGGGAAGGGGGTTCCACGTGGGACTCTATAGCCACCGCGGTTTTGCCACGTGGCATCTACGGCTGATACCAATAGAGTCGAAGTGGAGAGAGCCTTTAATGAAACTTAAGTGTCTGAAAGGGGTTAAAGTGCGGAAAAGGTGCGGAGATCCGAAGTAACACATCAAAAAAAAAAAGATTCACGCCACAAGCAGAATCGGGCAGATCGAACACAAGATTGAACGGGGGAATCGTCACCAAAGTGCGGGGAAAGTGCGGAGATCCCTTAGTACGGAAAATAGACAGACAGAAAGATACGCGTGGCGATCAGTGGAGGGAAGAGAACTTTTGACGGGACCGAAGTACGCGGAGGGATGGAAGCAAGGAGAGTTGGGACAACAAATCTGAGGTGAGAAAACAGGTCATCACTGAAGGGCTTAGAGTGACACGTCAGCTGGATCAACACATCTACAGAGGAATTGGGACACGACGGGAGGAGACACCAGAGCTGCAAGAGGGACAACGACGAAAGGGAGGACATCGACCGAGCGGAACAGCGAGCAGGTGCGCGCCCACCCAACCCCTGACTCCTTCCTGCAACCATAATCCTCTCCCCCCCCTCACGCTGTCGAGCGCAGCGGTCCGACACCGCACAAAACGGGGCGGGACCCTCTCGGCCGCATCACGCAGGAGTTGGTCTTATCCTCGTCGCAATTGCATATGGAGCTTCCGCAAGCCGTTCCGGCCGAGTGCGCCAGCCATACCTCTCGCGAGCCCCTATGACAGGATAGGGCCTACGCGAGGCACGACTTACCTCCACCTTATGGGAGTTGTCACCTCCCTTCGGTGGGCGTATCCCCGCCGAGCTACCAGTCCACAGTACGAAAGCTAATCAACTGCAATCATAGAGGTGGACCAGTCGAGGGCGTTTCTCGTTCGTTGTAGCATAGGGGGTACGTGGGGTAATACGCCACTATCGGACCCGGACGAGAACCGACATCTTGGGGGGACTGAGGTCCCAAGCGCGACTCGTCGCCGGTCGATTAGGACGCATCCCACACACCCCGCGAACTCCACTCTAAAGAAATAAACACACACACACACATATATATACATATACAGAACGACACAGAACAAACTACGCGACAACACTCCTAATCCCTTAGTAGCCATTCCATAACTTTCCGATGCGGAAATCGGATAGGCGTCGCGTGTGAGACTTAGTATAAAACCGTGCGGACGCAGGGCTAACTCACATCGACTCGCAATGCAAGCGTACGCAAGCGGTCGCAGTGATGCCGTACTATGTAGTACCCATACTCATGAGATCCTCGTTAATCTCGAGGGTCGCGTTCGACACTAAAGTGTCGACTGACACGCGCCTTGAGGGACTGATCTCTCAATGCTGGAGAACCATCAAGTGCGGTTGAGAACCACACCCTCTTTTGCACCCTGCGGAGAGTGGGTGGTACACAGATTCATACATGTGGTGGCAATCGTCTCAAATTGCCCTGGAAACCAGCTCTATCATCCAGGGCCTGAAGAGAAATCAAGGCGGTTGACTTTGACCGCTGCCACGGATTACAACGTCCAACTATAAAACTCTAAAAAGCAAGCGAAGGATAACAAAGGATCTCCCATTTCGCTAAAAAAAACATAATCAGTTTAACCTTTACGCGCGGTCACAGTAGGCCGCGCTAAACACTCAAGACATATTTAATTTACATATATATAGAGGGTTATAAATATGTGACGATCAATTCTCACAATCACAATGGGGCTCCTCTCAACCATATATATATATATATATATGTATGTGAGCGCAGGCAGCGAAATCCCAAGTCTGAATCACCAAACATACCTGCAATCACATCAAAGAGTCAACCAAAAGTCCATGCACTACACGGGGTCAACTTCAACCATTCTCTGCACTCACACCCCTTGCTTTAGCCACACAAACCTCAACCTTAGCGCACCCTTCCAGCAATAAAATACTCAGTACCTTTGTTAAATGGCCGTTCAATAAAGTCCGGGTAAAAACACAATGAAACATTTCAAACCATAGGGTTAAAGCCTTTAGGTTGAGTGGCAAGAGGGAGTTGAATCGTAAACCGACGAATCGACAACCGACCTGTTATCAGTGATAACAGAAGATGATCCTTGTAGGATCAAACTGAATCTAACCCAGATCCTGAATCAATCGATCAAGAAGACCTGTAACACAAAACAGGCCAATTCCCAAGCTAAATCTATAAGTCCATGAAGAATAATCTCCATATCACAATCTCACTCAAGGTTCTTCTTCAAACTAACTCTAAGCCTGCCTCTAAGCCAGTGCCTACAGAAAGGTAGACCCTGACAAAGTCTCCTCTATACAGATCGGATTGCCAGAATTGCCACCTGTCAAAATATAATCTAACTCCTCTAAACTAAGAAAATTTCGGAAGCGCTTCCCGTAGGAAAAGTGTCTTCTCAGAACTTATAATAACTCAAATATGAAAACAAAAAAAATCTCTAATTTTGGAAAGTCAATTTTTGTTTAACTCCCTGTAAAAATTTGGGCAACACTTTTTTAAAGTCAATTTTTGTCTAACTCCCTGTAAAAATTTGGGCAACACTTCCTTTAAAAAGGAAGCCTTCCCATATTTTTACTAAGTCAGATATGAACTCAGAAACAAGACATCAGTTCAACTGACCCCTTAGATTTGTAGAAATTTCAGCAACGCTTCCTGCAGAGAAAGTGTTATTCCAAGATTTATATAAAGCTAAGTTCATAATCTAAAGTGACTTTGACTTTTCAAGATCCACTTTTTGTTTGACTCCCTGAATTAGCAAAAATTTGGGCAACACTCCCTTTAGAAAAGGAGGTTTTCCATATTTTTACTAAGCCAAAGAGTCAGAAAAACTGGACCCTGAAAAAAATAAAATTTGACTAAGTCCTTGGTTTTGTAGAAATTTCGGCAGCGCTTCCCGTAAAGAAAGTGGCTTACCAAGATTTATACAAGACCAAGTACATAAAAAATGATCCCAGAAAATGCAAAAATCGACCTAAGTAAAAATAAACTTAGCTCAGAAAATGCAGGAATTGAAACGAACTCCTATGGCTCTAGCACGTAGCGAGCAACTAAAGCAACTACCTATCAACTAAAACTCAGACTACATAGTGATCTTACTCAACCACATGCAAGCCAAACCACAAAGGTAAGTACTCTCACCAGCCCAAAGTCAATTTATTGAACAATAGTTCATGATCTTTCAGTGATTTATCCCTTTATACCCATCGTACATAAGGCATAAAGCCAGACCACCCAATCTTATGGGAACCTGTCTAGCTCAGCCATAGAATATACGCAAACACAGGGCACTACAACTTTTCTCTTCTTTGGGCATGTGACTAGGTCACCCTAGTCGCCCTGGACCATTTAAGTATCCAAGTTATATATAAATGTCTGCACTTTGTCTTTTAAGGCAACATATGACTGAACCGGTCATCTTAGATCAAGATTCAGCCTATCCCTTCTTACCACAAATTTACTCTTTATTAATACTCTCTTCAGTTGGTCATAAGCTATAGTCAGACCATCCAATCTTATGGAAAAATGTCTGACTAGCCTGTTCATAAATAAATAGTATAAAATATAAACAAAACAAGGCGACCAAGCCATCCAATCTTAGTATGTGCGTGGCTCCAGACCAGACCACCCAATCTTATTGGAACCTGTTCAGTCATTCGCCTAAATTCCCTTCAAAATAAATAAGAGAGAAACTAATAAACATTAGAAATCCCAAACGAAACAAGGCGACCAAGCTATCCAATCTTATGGAAAATTGCTTGGTCCCTGAAAGTGAAGCACAAACAGCCCTCGCAAGTCAAAGCAACCAGACCACCCAATCTTATGGGAACTTGTCTGGTCCTTCAGGCAATCAAAAAATAAACATAGCACTGGGCCCTCCAATCTTATGGAGACTCTCCCAGCCTTTCGTTGACCCAGTCAAAACATGCAATCCTACCTTCCTCCCATCCTTCCCCCAGATGCAATCCCACAATCTGCTTTCAGTCAAACAATAAAACCGAAACTGACATTGCACATACATTCCTTTATTTAGTCTGGTTTTGTCCTGAAAGTCAAACGTAAAATCAGAGTAAAGGGGCATGTAGTATACGTAGTCAAAATGTAACAAGCAATACAGATAAGGGTTATAACTAGGTTTATAGAGGGGAAGCAATGGTTACCTTTCAATTCCCTGCCTCCAGAACTCCTCCCACAATCGATGGGCTGACTCCCCACAGAGTCGTGTTGCGGTCCTACGGGTTGCAATCCCGCCTGCCGCCTTCCTCTCAGAACAAGATTAGACTTAGAGTAAGAAAGACAGAATGAGGGGTATGAGACTCTCGAGATACAAGGAGGGGGACTGACTCAACTCTCTAGAGAGGGCCTTGTTGCCTTAATGCGCCTGAGGGCCCCACAATGATGGCCAAAATGCTCAGTAGGTTAGTCAACCCAAAACCAACCCGTTGACCGCCAACTCCTTGAAGGCCATCCGAATTGCAGCAGTACCCCCCCTTTCAACAATCACATTCACTTCACAACACTCGCAGTTTGAAAAACCTTCGTCGTTGCTCAAGACACGAGTCGAGGATCAATAACACAACTTTCTTCCCCTCCTCAGTGAAGCAGAGGACGACCTAACTGGTCGTCTAACGGCTG